TTCCTAGATCAAGAAGTTGAAAACCAAACATTATTTCAGTAAATGATCTAAAGTGATAAGAAGTTTTAATCAACAGCATTAGTTAATTTACAGCACCAGAACTCTGCACTAAAAAAACTAATAATGCAGCTCACCTGATGTAGCAAAGCAAGTGCATGGAACTGCACAAGAGCTGCTCTTGATTGAACAGCTTCTTGAACCTCATTGCTCCACCTTTTCACAATCTCAGGATTTGTCTGAAAAGGGGTTACATAAAATAAACAAGCAGCATACATGAACAATCAAATGCAAAGAATCTACGAGAGAAAATTAACAATACCTGGAGTAGATGAATGCCACTAACAAGGGCCGCACTTGCAACAACTGGATTCTTATCTACGATTGCTTGTTTCAAATATCTCTCAATTTGAGCAAGGAGGGTTCCATCTGTGATACGACAAAGTACACGAATAGCATTTGCCCTGTACATATCAGTCTTGCTATTCATGTCCTTCATGAGAGAGCTTGTCACAATTATAACCTGGAAAAATATATGAGTAGAGGATCAGTCAGCAAACATGACAAACAGACTGTTCAAGCGAGTCTGACTAGCAATGTTGAATTGAATGCAGAAAAACATGTAACCTCATCTGCTGAGGGAGAAAGCTCCTTTATCATCAGGTAGACCATCCTCCTCAACCCAATATCTCTAGACTGGAAAAGCTTAGTCACAGCGAAGAAAACTTCTGTGGCTTCGATCTATAACATGAACCAAGAACAAATCATCCAAAGAGGATGAATAATTACTATAGTTACTATAGTACAATAATCCAAATGCAATATGCAAATAGGCGTGGATCTTACGAAAAATGAAAAATTAAAACCACTGGGAATAAACTCCTGACCTTGGTAAATGTCTCTCCTTGATTCAGTAGATATAAAAGTTTTGTGATAACCTGGAAAGAAGATAATCATACATATTTCCAAAATAAATACCTGAAACGTGGTAGGAACAAGATGGGAAAAGATGATTCAACGATTCAAAATCAAACCTGTGAACATCTCCTAGCATCAAGCTGTGGGTCATTGAAAACCCTGGCTTCCTGAAGAACAGCACCCTTCTCAATTCCCAGAAAAGGAGAATACTCAGCTGTTAGACAAGCAAAAACCCAATTAATATTAACGAGCATCATGCTATATCAGCATCATGAAATGTAACGCCAGTAGGATAGAAACATCACCCGGGTAAGACCACATGTTTATAAAGAAGCTATAAGATCAAAGGAAACAACTTGCCGCCATAAACTTATTAAATTAAGCAGATACGAAAATCCAATTATCTACATTGGGAATTACGTATTAAGATCAATCCGGATTTCCATGCACCTTAACCTGATCAGATCAAACATGAGGTGACAAGGCAAGCCTAAGTTCAACACTAATATAACAATACAAGTATAATGATCTACACGAACCTGCTACATTCATAATTCTAAAATGCAAAATAAACATAGATCTAGAAGCGAGAAGAGTGATCCAGTTGGGGCAACCTAAAGCAGCGAATTTTAAATACAAAAAGCATAGAAGACAGATCGAATTATGAATAGTGGGAACAAATAGCGGTTGTTCATTGATGAACAATGCGGAGTCAGAGAGAACATGACGGAGGAAGCACCTTCATCGTCCCGGTCGTCGTCCTTCTTCACGAGCGGCTGCGCCATCTCCGGAGCAGGTGAATCTCTGAGATCTGGTCGCTACAAAGTCTCGCTGGATCTTTGTCTCTCTCGATAGGTGCCTTTGCGAGCACAGAGTGAAGTTGAGAAATCAGGAGTATGGGAGGTGAACGAAGGGGGAAATGGCCTCTCTAAACGCACAAAGAGGGCTCGGAGCACAGGATGGGCAAGATCAGGTGCGGTGCGGTTTATTTTATCATTTGTAATTTGTAATTTATACTACCGTTCAAATTCGCAGTAGTTTTGGTTGGGGGCAATGGTTATGGGGCGTGTTTTAATTTTTGATTATTCAAAATTAATGATTCAAATCATTTTTTAAGAGAATTGTTCCAAAAAAAAAATCATTTTTAAGAGAAATAAATAAGAGTGATAATTTTTAGGACAGTCCGTCTTTTAAAATTAGTCATCACCTGGATGTTTGGTAAAAGCAAGGTAAAACGTGAGTATGTGTTGACACACTCTTTTAATATTACAAAAAAATTATTTCTCAAAATAAAAATACTTTTGTTGAATTGCATTTTGGATGGATTTTTTTTTTAAATTTTTTCAGATTCTATCGATCTTCTCGTTTCTATAAAACTGTCAACCACTTAAAACAATTTTTCTAGTTCGTGCAATCTTTTTCAATTGCATGCTGGTATAAAAAAAAAAAAAACTTTTTCCATCATGTATAAGAATAGATAGAAAGTAAAAATATTTAATTATGCATAAGTCAATCTAAATTAAAGGCGCTCCCCCCGGCACACGGGCGGGGCACAGAATCAAAACATTTGAGGCTTCTCGGGTTATGTGATCTGGGCCTTGTCTTTGGGCCATGTTAGCTGGAGTCATATGTTAGCCCAATAAAGCCGTTGCTTGGGTAGCTGGCTAATCCAGTCCAAGTTTTTTATTCATCATGTCTTTTTTTTTTTGGGCCACGGATGATGCCGTCTTGAGTTTGTGAAAAGCAACCCCGGGTCACCTCTCACAAAAAAACTAATTTCATTGATAACTTACAAAATTATGAGTTTGAATCTCGATATTTATGTAAAAACTTTGTTAATAAATAATTTATAAATACCTTTGTAAGTACTATCTAAACCTAGTACTGGTAAATCTTCGGAACCTAATTCATTTAAATTTTTCTGTTCAGAACCTAATTCAGTTAGGTGGACAAATATACTTTGGCTTCAAAGTTGTTCTTGATGAAAACATTTGCACCTTTTTTATGTGGCGGTGAATAATTTGTCACAGCAAGAATTTTATAACTAAGCAGAAATGGTTTTTCGTCTATACTGCTCAATTTTCAATATGCGTTGGGTTGTTATGAGAAAATTAAAACACTCAACGTTTTGTCGCTGCTTGCTGGAAATTGCAGGGTCTTCGGAGTCTCCGCCTGAAAAATGAAATTATTGATATGAACAGTTATTTAAAATTAATTTTGTCACATATGTTTTTCAAGTTATAATAAAATTAATCAGAAAGGCAACATGATAAAAATGTCAATCCAAAAAAATACACGTGCTGGATGTATCATTTTATAAGAAAGGCCCAAAAAAGGAGAGCGACCACCATCATTCATTGACAAGATCATGAACCTGGGCATGAAGAAATTTAGGCCATTCATCCATTTACACGCGTTGAAAAGATTTAGGGGAGAAGCTTGCATCCTGGTAGCCACGGGCCAATTATTTTAGCGATACGTTTCAGGTTTGTTTTTTTTTAAGCGCAGGAACCGAACGACTTTTATATCATTGTTTTTAAATTTTTAGTTGAATGCCCAAAAAAACCCTGCATTCCTCCGTACTATTTGTGGAAAAAAATTAATTAAGATTAGTTTTTTTCGGAAGAATCTCAAATAAATCTAGTCCAAATATCTAAATTCAAATTTAGACTTAAACTTTTTATAAATTTTTAATCAGATTGTGAGGCTTAATAAAAGATTTCTGAATGTTGTTAAATAATCAGAATGTCCCTCTTTAATTAAATAATAATAATTATTCTACCCTCTTAAGTGATCTCTCATCTTTTATGATTATCTTTTAAGACAAAAAATATATAAATTAATTTTACAGTATTTAAAATTTGTATATATAACTAAAACTATTAAAAGAATTAAAATAAAGAATGTTAAATTAGAAATATAAGTAGCATGTTAGTAAATATTTTTTATTTTCAGTTCTTATGATCTATATTAGTTTTATTTATTAGTAATGTTGAATTCAAAGGAAACATAAATTATAGCAACTTAATATTAAATATTTCTTGTAATTAAATATTTTAAAATCTTGAAAAAATATTTGCAACCTAAAAACAAAAAATATTTATTTAAAAAGCATTTGTATTATAACTTAAAATGTTTTATTAAATCTTACCCAAAAAAGTTTTATTAAAATACTTTGAAGGTTTTAGTTATATATACAAAATTTCAAACATTGGTAAATTATTTATATGTTTTTTTTTGTCTAAATATCAATAATAAGAGATGACGAACCATTTAAGAGATAAAATAATCAATTTTTATTTTTAATTTAAGATGAGCATTTTTGTCATTTAACAAGATTTGAAAATTTCTAATTAGGTCTCATATCCTAATTAAAAATTTATTAAAAATATAGGCCTGAATTTAGATATAGATATTTGGGATGGATTTAATGGGATTCTCTCTCGTTTTTTTTTGTTTACCTGAATTAATATTAGATTAAATTTTAGTAAAGGAGGAATAAATCTAATGCATAATTGCATTTTTTTTGTTGGCCAGCAGCATAATTGCATGGTATTGGTCTACTGGATTATTGGTGATGAACAGATGTTGTTGGTCATGGACGCTTGAGTTACACCTGTCAACGAAAATATTACCAGACATAAGTATATAAGGTCAAAATATTTATTAATGTTACCGAAAGTAATATATAATAATTGAGCTTAATACTACCTGATATCCTAATTATAAAAAGCTAGTTGATTAATTTAAAAAAATTAAAAAAATAAGTTAAATTAGTTATTTATAATACAGAAGTATTGTTTTTCTTAAAATATCCTTAGTAATTAAGTGTATTGGTTAAAATTACCTTTATTAAAAGGATTACCTTGACAAAAAACACATAATATGAGAGATAAAATAGATTAAGATCTTATATTTATGATTAAAATAAAAATCAAATAAGGTTTTGTATTAAGGAACGGAGGTAGTACTAATAATAATCATAATAAAGCATATTAATATTATCAATTAATAGTTTGGCAAACAAAAAAAATAACAATTAATAATAGGGAGAATTTGGAATTTAGATGCAGAGTGACAGATCAGACCAGGTCGGTCCAGGATTTGATTAGAGAGAGAAGACTGGAAAGATCGAAGCAGTTTGGGAAGAGGAAGGCGTCACACACAGTAATTGCGACTCTCTGAAGTCTGAATCCGCTTTGACCAATAATCACGCCCTCTTCGATCCACGATGCCTTCTCGAAGAAGAACCCTCTTGAAGGTCATCATTCTCGGTGATAGCGGGTCCGCCTCCCTCTCTGTTTCTATTTTCATGCAATTATGCACATCTGATTGTTCCTTCTGTGCTGCTTTGCTTTTCGATCCTAGGGTTTCTCTGTTGCAAGGGTTGGTGGGTTCTTCGGGTTTGTTGTTTTCCTCACTTTAGCAGCACTATAACTAATCCAGCCAAAGAATTTGATCTGTTTCTTCTGATTTTTCCGTTGATTTAGGTCTAGTGGAATTTTTTTTTTTTTTGGTTTTCTTTAAAAATCGTTTGAGTTCCTGCTGCGAATAACTATATATCTAGACATTGGAGGGTGTGGGACAGGAAGAGTTGAGTTATATTGCAATTTCGGATGCAATTCTCTATTTCTATATTTTAGTCATTCCGAATGGCGAGCTTATTACTCACTGGACATACGAATTTGAGATTTGCTTTTCCAAAACGTGACGAGAGATGATTCTTTCTTCTTCTTTTTTCTATTTTTTTCCCTCTTTAATACGTTAAACTTGATATTGGACTGGTCTGTGTATGTTGTTTTGTTTGTAATAGAATAAAGAGAGCTGCGATAACTCAAGCCTAATCGGATATCTTGCATTCATGTGAAGTTGATGATGCTTTACGAAAATAAAAAGATTTTACTTTTGTTTTTGACACAATTTATTTTGTGCTTTGCAGAGTGGGGAAGACATCTTTGATGAATCAGTATCCTTTGGTGCTCTGGAGCTGAAAGTTGAAACATTTTTACTTTACACATTTAAGCTCTCTATTTCGCACTACTCTGTGCAATGCTATCTTACTCTAAAGTGTGAACATCTTTATTTAGTGTATATCCTTAACATATGTAATACAGATATGTAAATAAGAAGTTTAGTAATCAGTACAAGGCAACCATTGGTGCAGACTTTTTAACCAAAGAAGTGCAGTTTGAAGATAGGCTTTTCACCTTACAGGTTTGTGAGTATAACTCTGTTTTATGGTTACATTGATTTTGTAATGCTTGAAGGTGACTGCATGCTTGAGCCATAAGGTGGTTTATATTGGGCTTAGTAGGGAGGGTGGTAAAAACCACAAACCAGGGAGTAGATTATTGCAATTGGTAGAGATCCTGTTGAACTCTTGTCTTCTTTATAATAAATAGAGGCCTCCGTCTTATGTGCTGTATTATCGTTATATACCAATTTATTATAAGACTATCAGTGGGATCGAACTTGTTAATGTGGGGTGTTATTAGTCGATACAGCTATGCATGTAAATAATTGATCATTTTATGTTTATATTAATTAATGTTGTTAGTGGCTGATTATTATTTGCATGCTTCTAGAACAGCTATAGTCAGTGTGTTCCCATTTTGTAGTATAGATATGTAAATAAGGTTAGCAATCAGGGCAAGGCGACGTTGGTCGTGGACCTCTTTTAACCAAAGAATTAGACAACCCCCCCCCCCCCCCCCCCAAAAAAAAAAAAAAAGATATAAAGGCGGAAACAAGTAGAAAGAATATGTGAGACTAGTTTCTTGTGATGACGAATGCTAAGATTTGATGTGGTTAATTTTCCACAGTGCCTATGTCTATCAAACTTACCGCACCAAGTGCAGTTGTCTCTGTGTTTGAGCTTTTTAGTCTTTGTTCCATTGTTCGATGCCTGAAATGTCTTCATGCCTATCAGTTCGTTGCTGTTTCTTAAAATAGGATGGGGTTTTGCATGACCTGTATGCTAAAGATGATTATTTTCTTACTTCTAGGCGATTGTTTGCTCCCCTGTCTATTTCTTATGTTGATATTAGGTCTTGAACATTCTGCAACCCTGCTAAGCGCTTCTAGCAGTGCTGATTTTAACCAGGATGTAATGATATTTATGAGAGAAAAATTATGTTGGCTTGCCCTGGTTTTTATGTTGAGCATCATGGATAGGGACTACAGAGATTAATTTAATAGGACAGAAGTATATTCTGTAATGGTAACTATCCTGTTAATTAGGTCTGAATCTTTAACCTGCTGTCTAAAGAGAAGCAATGGAATCTTTTTGGTGAAAGGGTGTGATTTAGCCTGTAAGAATCTCTGTAAATCACTATTAGTGGGGTACATCTGTATATGGTGTTAGCTTCTGTTTGTTGTAGAAATGATATTTGGACCGCTAAGTCAGTTTATCTTTTCTTGTGTTGATATTCTTAATTTTTCAGATTTGGGATACAGCTGGTCAGGAAAGATTCCAAAGCCTAGGAGTTGCTTTTTATCGTGGTGCTGATTGCTGTGTTCTTGTATATGATGTAAATTCAATGAAATCGTTTGAAAACCTCAACAACTGGAGAGAGGAATTTCTGATTCAGGTGTCTGCTTTCATCTATGTAGACAGATTTCTCAGTTTTTTTATTAGTTATAAATCAATGTTTTAGTGATGTTGTAACTTGGAAGATCTGGGATCACCTTGGCAGGCAAGCCCCTCGGATCCTGAGAATTTCCCATTTGTTGTTATAGGAAACAAGATAGATGTGGAAGGAGGAAACAATAGAGTGGTATGTGCTTTTCTTGACTTTGTTTTCCTTCCCTAACACACAAAACCCCCCCCCCCCAAAAAAAAAAAAACCCCCCTGACATACACAACGGACTCATTTATGCAGATGCAAAGCTTATGTCTATTGCTAAATAGATGAACAATGCTAAGAAGTTCTTGCATGCAGGTTTCAGAGAAGAAAGCTCGAGCTTGGTGTGCATCAAAAGGAAATATCCCGTATTTCGAGACATCAGCCAAGGAAGGCATTAATGTAGAAGAAGCATTCCAATGCATAGCGAAGGATGCCTTGAAAAATGGTGAAGAGGAAGAAATGTAAGTTGCTAAACATGCACTAGTATTTGGACATGCTTTGAGGTACAAGCATACAATGATGTCGCCCTTGCTCTGATATTATAATGGTGTTATGTTGGGTAGCATGCTTTGGTCTTATTGATGTTTGACTTTATTATATTCAGTTGTCTCTTGGAATCAAAAGATAAATTCATGATTGATGTATGATTTTATGGTTAAAAATGAAAGCCACAGGGCTACATCATAGTCAAGGAAACAAAATGCTGTGAGAACAAGCGAACAACCATTATTAGCTGCAAGTTAATAGTATCTACTAGATAGCATTATTAATGCAATAACTAATGCATCCTAAACACCATCAGCAGTAGTAAGAAAATTATGTTGAATGGGTTAGGCTGGTAGCATCTCTTAATCATAATCAGCCAGTGCTTATTGGTGTATGTCTCCAAGTCTGCTTATTGGTTGGAACATCTTAGCATTATTTGATATTTTGATGTGCAATGAACGATTATAGTTATTTATTTATTTATTTTTTTTGGCCAGAGGAGATAGAAATATTTTACTATGATACTGATGTCTCTTTATCATTTTTTTCTCTGTAATTTGTGGTTGCTGAAGATATCTGCCAGACACAATTGATGTTGCAACCAACACTCAGCAGCGTTCGACAGGATGTGAGTGCTAAACATATTGCTTTTTCTTGACCATAAAAATAAAGTACATTACTTGAAACTGGTCTGTTCAGCCATTGCTGGCCATGAGGCTTCATTGTACACTAGTGTCTGCTTAAAGTTTAAATTCTCTAGTGGTATTCGTTGGGTGCTTGTCTTCTTTACGTTCCCGTTAGATGAGCTTGTTCATGCTGTCTTTGGTATTCGAATATTGTCAAATAAAAGCTATGAGATAATTCTGAAGTCACTTGTTCTGCTAAGTTTTTAAAATATATTCGAATGCTGCCAGGTTTTTTTTTTTAATTAATTCCCCACTGCTTGCAGAAGGAACTTCTGAGCAATTATAGTGGCCTTTTTGTTTTCCTCAACCCATGGGATGGAATAATGGTTTCATTGAATAACAATAATAAGAAGGACGGAAACATTCATCTGAAATTAAATTATACAAATATCTGCATTCTTAAAATATGTATATTTCTACACACACCAGTGAACTTTATAAATTGAAAATGGCACATTCTGCTCGCTTACAGAGAGGGTCCTACTTTTCTTAAAAAACAGAAGAAAAGAAAATATTTACATGGAGATGGATTTTGTATATTTAGATGGAGGTATTTTCTCTCTTCTCTTTTTTTTTTCCCTGCCCTTTTCGGTTGCAATTGGAGAATGGATTTACCTTGACATTGAATTATTCGTTTTGCCAAACTGAAGATGTAACTACTTGTGGTCTGAAAAGGATGCCCTTTTCCTTTATGGTTTATATAGAATTAGGGTTTTCAAAGTCATCAAATCCTCGATTGTATCAAAAAGTTTTACAATAAAGTCAAGCATAGGTTAGGGAGTTGTTAAAGTTGACAGAAAGTTGCTAAAATGTGTCTTCGACCCAGTACTTGTTAATTTTATGTTAGGCATTCATAAAACATGCATGACTATATTTGATCGGCTTGCAAAGATTTTGGGAAATCAGTGGTGCTAAATTTGTTGGAGCAGAACCAGATGGTTCAAACAGGATGCCCGGCCTGATGTTTCAACCCGGTTAGTTGGACCTGTCTTTATGGGTTGACGTGGCCCACATTGTTGGGCCTACCTAGGTTTTAAAAAAAAAATTCTCTCTGAAAAAGAGGCATCTCCATTGAATATCCAACAGAATCCTAAACAGTGCATTAATGTTCCACTAACTCTGCTAATAATTTGTTTGATTAAAATAAAAAAAAGAACGTGATAAAATTATTTTAGCTAATTGCATTTAATTGATAGTGGCAAGTGTTTATTCAGCGTCAAGTTGGCAAAATAAATGCTACTCCGATCCTAATTATAAGACCCAATTGACTTATTTGAGGAGATTAAGGAAGTAAGTTAAGTTGGTTATTTATAATAAATAAGTGTTGTCATTCCTAAAATATCCTTGCTAATTAAGTATATTGGCTAAAACTATCATTATTAGAAGGATTATCTTGGAAAAAAATACATAAATATAAGAGAGAAAATGGATTGGGTCTTATAATTAGGACCAAATAAAAAGTCAAATTGGGTCTTATAATAAGGACCGGAGGAGTATAATTTTTTCTTTTGTTTTAACCTGCATATAGTTTTTCACTTCGCTGGTCTTGCATTCGGAGGTCAAAAAGTTTGTCGTATTACCAACCATTTTCGGGAGTTTTTAAGCAAAAATTTTTATATGCTGGTATTACCGACCATTTTTTGGAAGTTTTTAACAAAAATTTTATATATGCTGTGTCTATAGAGTAGCTTTTTAATCTGGTGCAACATGCAAATCGATTACTAACACACGTTGCTTGGAAAATCAAAAGTCATCTCGAGAATATTTCAATGGTTAAAAGCAGTTTGCAATGCTCAAAATTCATTTGCCAAAATTTAATCTGAGTCAGTCCTCTACTGCTTTATATGAAGCTCGTTTTATAATGTAAATTGTATTATAAAATAAGTCTTATATTAAAAATCATATAAGTGTTTTTCAAAAGTTACAAACAATTTTAACTCTTTAAGTTGCTTTCTGATGATATAAACTTGTTTGTGTTATTTTTCAAACAACTTTCAGCTTATATTTATTTTTATGTACGATTTTTATTCTTTTTTCACTAGATCAAATAAAATCTTTGTTTTTTTTAAATACCAAATTTAAATAAAATTTTTATGATAATTAACTTGAAACATTCAATTAAGTGATAATCAAGAGTTTTGAGACTCACCCTCTTCGAATTGTGATCTGTCAAAATTTACTTGGAAGGGTTTAAAAAATAAGGCAAGTATATTCTGTAAAGGGATATTCACAGTGTTTAGGTATCATTAATTAAATATAGCAGCAAAATTAGCAGACGATGATTATAACAAGATTAGATTAAATTAATATAATTAACAATCATTTAAGCATATTTTGCTTCCAAAACAAGTTGGGATGGATGAAGCATCAATGAAAGAAGGCAGTGAGAGTTGTAAAGATGATGATAAGAGAGGAAAGATCCATCTTTGAACCTCTTTTGAAGTTACTCTGAACTTTAACAGATAGTTATTGTTCTTGCAAATTATATTATTATATGATTTGGGCCAATTTACCGAAACAAAAACATTTTTCCAAGCACCTTGATTGTGTCAATAATATGTAAATAGAGAAATCTTTTTCCCTTTATTAATTGAGAATGAAAGAAACCAATAGGGTTGAGTCTAGTAGAAGGGGCTAGTCTCCCACAACGTGGTGAACCAAGGTTCGAATTCCCGTTAGGAGAGGTGTCCATATTTAGTGCCCAACAGTGTCTTGAATAGGATTACCTCCAATAGGAGGATACCTATGTTTTAGCAAAAAAAATTGAGAATGAAAGAAGGATCATGTAAAGTATGGCAGAAACAAGACGAGAAAAAGACAGTAATAATGATAACAATGAGAAAGTCGCTCTGGGATTAGTTTTAATTTCACTCGATGGATCTAAATTGTAAGATTCATATAAGGAGCAGAAGAAGAAAAAGAGAATAATACACATAGAAGCTTGCAGAATAACACTCAATAGCTTTATTTAATATATAATAACTCATGATTTTATTCTGACACATTTTTCAAACACTTTCTAGAAAACATGACAAACCATGAGGTTACACATACAGCCTCCTTAACCTTCATGCTTGAGGACTATTCTTAATATTCACTGATTTCATAAACCAACACACATTCAACCAAGGGTCGAGGCCATTTTTCACGTCATCATTGCAAGCAAAGATGGCAGGTCTTTGATAAGTTTTTTCTCTTCATGGCCAACATCATCATTGATGTATGATGTAATACTAGGTCTGGGCTCAAAATCTTCAATAAAATTTTTCTCTTGGGCATCAAGTTTGCCATTGTTGTATGATGTCACGCTAGGCCTAGGCTCAAAGTCTTCAGTAAATCTATTCTCCTGGGCATCAAGATTGCCGTTGTTGTATGATGTTGTGCTCGGTCTGGGATTCAAATCTTTGGTAAATCTTTTTTCACGAGCACCAAGATTGCCGTTGTTGTACGATGTTATACTAGGTCTGGGCTCAAAATCTTCATTAAATTTTTTTTTATGGACGCCAAGATTGCCGTTGTTGTATGATGTTACACTAGGTCTGGGCTCAAAATCTTTGATGAATGCTTTTCCTTGTGCGCTAAGATCGCCATTGTTGTAAGATGTAACACTAGGCCTTGGCTCAAAGTCGCTGTGATGAGTAGCAGTAGCAGGGTGTTTGGCTTCAAGAGCCTCAGCTTCATCACATTTGTGATTCAATCCTTCAACATGGTCGTGGGATTGGACCGAAAGATTATGATGAAGAAGGCCTTGTATTGCTTCAGGCATGGCCTCATCTTTCATCACCATTCTCCAGTATTCGCCACCGTCTTTTCTTGAAGCTGCTGGATCTGCCAACTACTCCACAACAAAGAGTTGGACTATCATATAAACATACATGATTTAATCCAAAAAATTGGCTGATATATGTGTGTGACATATTACAAAATCGTATAAATAGAAGTCCAAACTTGCGTTTCAGAAACAAGTTAATCAAACAAGATAAGTATGTGCCCCCGCAGACAAAAGCGTTTAGGTTAAAATTTGTGTGGTAATCAGAAGAAGTTAGGCCCAAGCAAAAAAAAAAAAAGGGTTAATATCTGAGGCTTTTTCGTGCCAGTTAAGATCTGAGCTGTTGAACTGAAGAAGATGATAAGATGCAACTCCCGTCGTTGGCCAAAAAAAAAAAAGATGCAACTCCTGTCCTAAATGTAGGAGCTAGACAAGAAGTTAGTTTTACTCCTAAATGTGATATCTTAATCTATTTTATTTCTTATATCTATTTTTTTAAACTAATCAATCTAACTTATAATCTGATGTATAGTCAAATGTTACATATGTATATTTTAAGGAGATCACATTTGTTAGAATTAAGTAATTTATTTAGTTTTCGATTCTTAATCTACTCAAATCAGTTAAGTAGTTCTTATTAAAGACCAAATGAGTATTATCTAATTAATACATGCCAAGAAGATTTGATTAATACTCCCTTAAGTCCGTAATATAGGAACTAATTAATTAGGAGTTTGATTTAATTTTAAATATAAGACCTCATTTTACTTTGTCTTTCATATTTAGTATGATTTTTTTCAAAACTAATTTACCTAACTTATGAACTAATATATAATTTATTATTATATAGAAGCATTTTAATTAGTAAAGTTATAAATTTATCCTACAAAAGAGTGATTATTTATTTTATCGTAAATAAAAGTATGTGTCTATGTGATCTGGCTCTACATAAGAAGTATTACAACAATATGTGTGTGTGAGAGATCTGGCTTTACTAAGCAGGGCTTTGATAAGATAGTAATAACAAAATTAACGTGAAATGATTATGAAGTAAATTGAAATTACTGCATTAATTAAATATAAAGAGGGGGATGAATTAAAAGAAGAGTTATTAAGATCATAGGAAGAGTAGGAAAACATACCAAGAAAAAGAAGAGAGGAAGGAAGGCAAAAGCTGAAGCTTTCATGTTTTCAAAAACTTAAGAGAGTGTGCAACTTTTTTCTGTGGCTCTTCAAGTCGTGCGGCTCCATTGTATTTATGGGCAACGAGGCGTGTTGATGAATTATTAGCTTGCATATTTTATGTATAAATTAGTGGAAAATATCGACAATAATATAATTGATAAAGTTGGTCTGCAATATACTGTCACATTTTTCTTATTACTTGTGCCGCGCAATTTTTCAAGTCAATTGATATGAGTTGGTTGAATTATTGATTAGAATTGATAAGACTTACAAAGTAAAATAAATCCTAAAATTATCTTCTAGGATTTGTTGTTTTAGTGATCTGATCTCTACTCGATTCTTAATCATATGTAATGCAGGTAATTGGAACTCAAGGTCGATTAACGTAAATAACAATAAAGTATTTTTTTAATTTTAACCACTCTTTCAGCTTCTTTTAAAATGTATTCAAGTCCTCGTTTTTATTTTTTTTTCTAGCATAATTTCTTCTTCATATTACCAATTATTGGTCATTATATGTTCCGCTTAATATGTCATTTCTCATTTGAAAGCTCAAAGAGAACGTTGATATAAAAATGAACTCGATGGTCAGAAATTATTATAGTGTAGCACGTTGGCTTAACCCTAGGAAAATATTTTTTCATTGCTTCTAGCTAGGTGAGACTGTAATATATAGTTATGGAATCTCTATGCCTTTAAAAAAATAAAAATATTATTGCTCCCTTCCCTTTTAAACGAAGTGCTATATAGATAATTAATTTAATTATCTAAATTAAACTAGTTCACTGTGAAAAAAATACGGTGATTTTTCTAAAATATCCTGCTATGAAAACTATCCCTATTGATTGTACCATTTTCAATCCTTAATATAAAAGTTAACTAACAAATTTGGAGACATTAAAGAAATCAAATAAATAAGCTAATTATAACAAATGTGATGTTATCCCTCTAAAATACGCTTGTACAACACTAATATTAATAAGTTTATAATTAAATTAAGTAAATTAGTTTAAAATAATAATAAATATCATAAACAAAGTTGATTAACATCTTATATTAAGAACCAAATTCAATACTCAATTAGTTGTTATATTAGAAGCTAGAAGCAATAATTTGAAATAAAACTAAAAAATAAAACTTGAACGTGATGATACTCTTGAGTCATGCATATCAGTTATATCTTGCTGTTGGAAAATAATTGACAATACGTTGATATTGTCGATTCATCATTTCACTACTTTACATAGGATCACTGTGAATGTCACTTGACAAAAACAACTTTGGTAATTAATAATTACTGGCTCTGATCCTCAATACTACTTTCGGTTTTAAATATAATAGTTAGTTAAAAATTTATTTTAGTCTTAATTATAAAATCTTAATCAATTTTATCTCTCATATTTATTTATTTTTTTTCAAAACAGCCCCATAGCAATTACACATATTAATTAAAAATTTTATTCTAATGCAAATGATTAACAAATATTTTAAGAAAGACAACACCTATTTATGATAAATAATTAATTTAACTAACTTTTTTAATACTAGTTATCTAGCTGTTATTTTAAGGACCAGAAGTAGTACTACAACATCCACTTAAATATTTTAATAAATCAAAAAATTAGTTAAATTAATTATTTGTTGAAAATTTGTGTTGGTTTGGTTTTGTTAAAATACATTCTTAAATCGTTGGCGTCGAAATAACTTTTTTATGCAAACCTTTTTAACATATGCAATTAACAGAGATAACTTAAAAAATGGTGAGGTGGTAACAAAATAAATTAATATCTTATATTTAAGATAAAACCCAACTCTTTAACTAGCTCTTATATTAGAAATTAGGAATAATTAAATCACACATGTTCAAGCAAAATAACAAATTTTTCATGTGTTCCGGCCCTGATCCAGGTGATAATTAAATTAATAAATTTCTCTTTCAACTTTATATGTTCATTCACAAGGAAACAACTTTGGGTAAACAAATGAGAATTGAATCTCATAAAATCTCATATATTATTATTAAAAGCTAAGTTGCGTCTATAATTTGGATTACCCCTTTGGCAGGCCACCATCTCCCACTTATTTGCTTTCCTCATTTGAAAGCTCAAAGTAATATAAATGAATTCGATGAGGAAAAAGTACTTAAGCATGTTTAACACAATGAAAATATCGGCCGTAAATCACGCCATTCTGAAAAGATTCTTGGACATGGCAGCTCTTAAAATATTTGTTCTGAGATTATTCAGAATAAATTATAATAACAGAGGTATAAGAAACACATTTTGTTTATAAAAGATGTAACTATAACATTGTGATTAATTTTCCATTTTAAAACATATCATTGTACTCAAAAAGAATTATATAATGTAGTTCACAAAAAAAAAAGAATTATATAATGTAACTAAATGGTTTTTTTAAATCTTTGCACTAATATCTTATATTATACTTGTTTTTGAACCCGGTTATTAGTTCATTTGTTTCAATAATGTCGGCCTGTGATTTTAATTTAATCAATTCTTAATCTATCTTAACTACTCCATGCTGAGCAAAATTGGAGGGTATTCTAGTCCATTTCATTGATTTAATTACTTTATGTTAACAAGCTTTGATTTCTAGTAGCCAATTAAATGAGCTCCATATCAATTTAAATAGTATTTTCTTTTCTTTTATAATCAAGATGATGTGGATACGCACTTTGATCAAATTAGCTGAATAAATTTTAAATTTAAGAAATATGAGTGTGGTGATAACATATAATAATGAAGATGTGTAAGTCCAAAGAATTCATGCCCTACCATTCATTAATCTGCACAAACACAACCATACGTATTCACGTGGTGGGCAAAACCACATAATCATACATAGGGCTAGTAATATGGATCAATCTGCGGGTTGTGAGTTGGCCCGTAATGGGTTGAGTCTATGGCGGGCTAAGCTGAAAAGAATCGTTTGAAGGCAGGTTGGCTTCTAGCCAACCCTAACCCCTTAGCAAACCGTCAACATTTATTTATTTATTTATTTTGAAATTTTTATTTTATTTTTTAATATTTTTTTCTTATACAAGATCCAAAAAAAATAATAAATTTTTTGCTTTTTCTTTGAAATATTTAATTGAAAGTACTAGATAAATTATATAAGTATTTTTTTAAATTTTTTAGATAGGATATAATATATAATAATATAATTATAATAATTAAGAAACTTTAAAAAATAAAAAAATAAATGTGGGTTAGCCCTCAAGTTGGCCCAGGTTACGGATTTGGTAGTGTAGATTAAAAAGGCTCATTTAGTGGAAAAGCCAACCCTAACCAACCATTTTTTACGGGTTAGACTTGCGCATGCAACCCATATTACCAATTCTAATCATGCATAATCTTCATCATTGACATAAACGAAAATGGTCCATAAATAAATTATATTTTCAATCGCAAAAAGAATTAAAAATACAATTAGATAATTTCATAGACCCAAATTTTGTTGTCAATAGAGGAACTTTTTTAACAGGTTTTACAAAATTAACCTAAACCTTTTAGTTTTTACTTTTAAAAGGAATTGAGAAGGTTTGCTATAAACTTTGAAGGCCGTCAAATCAAATTATTTGTAGATAAGCCAAGACATAGAGCAACAGTTTTTTCCAAAAAAAAAATTATCAGATATAAAATTAAACGAATCGCATTATTTATAAACCATGAACAATATGATATATCTCAAATTTTAAGCAAAACACCGATAACTTGTCTAGTAGTTAATTATTAGTAGTAGAAATGCTATTTGCTGATATCATAATAATCTCATTTAGATGTCTCCCATCTTACATGGATTGGTTCCGTAAATTGAACAGAGACTTAATTTAAATCAAATTAAATGCTCATTGAAAACATGAGTGACAGCAACTCATGTGCTAATTGGAATTACTGTAACTACTCTTTAATTTTTGAATGTCTCTCCAAGATTGATTTATTAGTTGACTTGCAAGTTGCAACTTCTTTCCTATTGGGGGAAAAATATATTTATTTAAAATCAGATTGCAACCTAGCTAACCTGCATAGGAAAACTGATTAGAGTCTCTTTCTTGAGGTCTTTTCAGAAGAAGTTGAACAGAAGAGCAAAGATTCATTTTGATTCCAGAAGAATTATGGGTGTGAAGTTTATATCTTGGACCCTCTTTCTTAATCTTCTACTTGAGATGGTAAAGTTATTCATTTTACTTGAAACTCTGAAAGCTTCTCTGCTGTATGGTTTCTGAGAAAATTAGTAATACTTTTCCTTTCCTTTTCTTTCAAATCATTTAACAGAGTTGTTATGGAAGTGAAGGAGCCATGGAAATGGGTGGAGGGCATATGGATCATCATCATATGGACCCTTCAGTAATGGTGTTCTTCACATTAAAAGACTTAAAGATTGGGAAAACAATGCCCATTCATTTCCCCAAGAGAGATCCTTCAGCCTCACCAAAGTTTTGGCCCAGAGAGGAAGCTGATTCAATTCCTTTCTCATTAAATCAACTGCCAAATCTTCTGAAACACTTCTTTTTCTCCAAAGATTCTCCTCAAGCTGCGGCCATGGAAAACACTCTCAGAGAGTGTGAGAGCAAGACCATCAAAGGAGAGATCAAGCTCTGTGCTACTTCTTTAGAATCCATGCTTGACTTCGCTCAGGAAATGATTGGTTCAGGATCTGGAATCCAGGTGATGTCTATATATATAAATCTTCAATAACACAGTCAAATTATAGTAATCACATAGCACAGTGTTAATAATTTTCTTTTGTTCTGGGTCCGCAGGCATTCAGTACTTCTCACAAAACCAAGTCAAGTGTGAATTTCCAGAACTACACAATCTTGGAAATCCTAGCGGAGATCCCAGCACCAAAGATGGTGGCTTGCCACACAATGCCATACCCTTATGCAGTTTTCTACTGCCATAGCCAGAAAAGTGAGAATAGGGTTTATAAGATATCATTGGTTGGTGAAAATGGTGATAAGGTTGAAGCTATGGTTGTTTGTCACTTGGACACATCCCAGTGGAGCCCTACACATATTTCCTTTAGGGTTCTTAAAGTTGTTCCTGGAAGCTCTTCTGTGTGCCATTTCTTCCCAGCAGATCATCTCATCTTTGTCCCTAAACTGCAAACCCAGGGCTTTTCAAGCATGTGACTTAGCTTCTGCAATTTTACCCTCTTCTAATTAATTATATATCTATGTATTTGAATAATGTCAAGTTTTAAATAAAAAAGGAGGTAATTCTAAGCTACTTGATGTGTTATGATAGTGAGGAGTGTGGACTTGCTTTAGCAGGGTGTCTTTAAGTTGATCATGTATCTCTCCTTTCATGTATGACAAGTAAAATATTATTGTTAATAATGTTCTAAATTATGAGAGGGATATCTATTATGGTAGCTAATTTCTAATATTAAATAAATTAATTAAATTAGTTATTAGTAACAAACAAGTGTTAGTTTTCCCAAACTATTCTTTAATCATGTGCATTAAATATAATTAACTATAATGAAAACCCTATATATTAGAATACAAAATTAATTGAGGTCTTGTATTTAGAATTAAAGCAAAACCTCTTGTCTAACTCCTATATATTTTGGGTCCATAGATAGTAATAATATAGTTTCTTCCTTGTTTGGGACACTTTTATACTTTACCGGACAGGCAGACAATACTCCTCTTACATATTTATTTTGTATAATGTAAAATCATTTAAAATAAGTTAAACCAATTATCCAGTCTCTTGATAATCGTTGGTTTAGTTCGCCGTATTCATGTAGGTTCCTTCCTTGTTCATTTCTGTCGCTATGGCTATTCACTTACAAGATATATTTTTAACATTTTAATTTTGTTTTGGTGATAATTTTTAACATTTTAATTTCCACGTTGGTTCTGCGTAAAACCAACATAGATTCAAATTTTGCAACCAAAAAAAAAATCAATACTTTGTCAAAGTAGATCACTTAATTTACACATTAAGAAAGAAAAAAAAATGGCCATAGATGAAATCCATTGTCGTCAAGTACTCATTTGATTAAGAATTTATTTGGTTTCACGTGTTGAAATCCACCAAAACCATAGTTTGATTGTTTTAACACACTCTTATTTATAAATTCTCTCGGTGCTGATATGAAGAGGTATTGAAATTAATTGTCTAAATTAAAAGCTAAAATGATACTAATATATGTATATTGGCAGATCGACCGGTAAAAACCTAACACATCGTCTGTCACTTTCGAATAATGAATGAATTTTACCGGGGCCCTTGTGAATAAAGTTTTATTAATATATTTCTTTTTAATGATATCATGGAATTGGAGATAAGTATGCTGCAACAAAAAATCAATTCAGTAGGTATCATTGATCATTCCATTATTCCTATTATAAAGAGTACAAATTAAACTGGTGATCGGTCACCATCTCCCATTCTTATTTTTTTGATTAGATCATAATTAAAGATTCCATTATGACTAATTATGTTTTTGTTAGAAAACAGTGAAAGTAATAAACATGGATAACGTGGCCAGTTATCAGACTAATAAAGTAATTGGCCAACATGCACGTTATATATGTGTATATAACCAATAAGCAATTAATGTTATATACTTCTTCATTAAAGGATGGACATTATTTCATCTTTTGATGTTCATGAGATCTTTATAAAATCTAGTTGATTAATATAAGGAGATTAGGAAAGTTACTATAAATTATTTTAAAATATTTATATTTATCGTATTTCTCCAAACTGATTTGACTCGCTTATAAATTAATATATAATTTAGTACTCCTCTTATCCTTAATATAAAAGCTATTTAACTAATTTGATTAGATTAAAAAAATTAGGTAAGTTAGTTAATTATAAGAAATGTGACACATTTTTTTTAAAAAACACCATAGTCATTTTTCTTAATACCCCCCTCTTTTTTCTACTTGATTATGGTTGAGGGAGTATCCATAGGGATAATTTAGAGAAAATTGATAAATATGATAAATGGGTCTTATATTTAGGACCAAAACCAACTCAACAATTAAGTCCTATATTAAGGACCGGAGGAGTAATATACATAAATATTTTAGAGAGATTACATAACATATATTATAATTAAGTAATTTAGTATCTTCTTTAATTTTTTTTAAATTAGTCAATTAGGTTTTATGTTTAAGATCAAGGTTGTATAAAACATGCAATAAAGTGAATTATTACTACCATTTTCTTTATGAATATATCAATCACAAAACATGGAGTTAATGAATTATGGAAGATGATGTCAGTTTGATCATATCCGTCGACACAAAAATTTAGCAAAATATAATGAGAACCTTATATAGGGAACTTTTTTTTTTTTTAAATTATCACCTGATGAATAATTCATCGATTAATACTCAAAATTGTTATTATTTTTATAGGAAAATTGGCATCCTTTCTATTCACGACTCCTTTCCCGTGTTTAGTTTATGCCTATGACAAATAACAATGGGCAATCATGCAATATTATGCACACACATACGTATGTGAGTGTGTGTCTATATATATATATATATATGCTTGTTTATTCAGGCAAGATCAGCTTTATGGTTGCTTATTCAGACAAGAACTTCATGCTGTTGTTTTTATCCGATTTTAAAGAACGCGACATTCATAATGTGCCAAGATCATCAATCAACGCATATTACGATTACCCCACTTGGATTCTTCTTTCTCTTTTTCTCTACCTCTTTCCTTTTTGTAAGAAGAGAGAAAAAATATACTCATCCGGTCCTAAATATAAAACTTATTTTGTAGTGTAATATTCTACATTAGAAAGCCTATCAAGAGAAGTGGGGATAAGTCCAAAGAGCTTTCCCACGTAATAGGCCAAATTTTTTTAGAACGAGCTCTTCCTTTAAATTTAGCTTTGTAAAGTGCACTCTTATTGAGATGCCAATATTCACAAAGAAGGCTATACATGGAGGGTTCTCAACGCCAAAAAGTCAAGTGAAGTTTTTTATTGGGTTTATAAGGTTTATAAGTTCAACAGACTCTTCGCCTAATAAGTTAATTTTTTGAGATGAGCTCCTCCTTTATATTTGTACTTGTAACATCTACTTAATAATTATCTCTAATACTTAATATAATAACTAATTAACTAATTTTTATAGATTAAAAAAGTTAAATAAATAAATTATAATAAATATGACATATCTTTCTAAAATATGTTGTACAATATTAGATTATATACATCAATTTGAGTTAAACAAATTAATTTTGAAAAAAATTATAAATACAAGAAATAAAATGAATTAATATCCTGTGCTCTGTATTAGGGAGTAGAGGAATATATACTTGTATAAAAATAGACAAAAAGAAAAAAGAGAATAAAATTGTGCAAGAAATGCTGATATTAAAAAATGACATTAATTAAGACAAATCAATTTTCAGAGGTGCCACAGTCATGCAGCCACAACTCTTCATCTTTTTTTCCCGTCGGCAACTCATTATTGACATGGGTCAATTATTATGTTCTTAATTATTAGCCATCTGAGTAGGCTTCATTTGTCGGTTTTCGTTTGTCACCTTCAGCATTAAAGCATTCTGGAAAACTTTCAATAATTATGAGTTTGAACTTGCCATAATAAAAATCTTCGATTGCCTTTCTTTTTTTTTTTTTTTTTGGTGTTGAATTCCTATATATCTCTATAACTACCACATAATTGATCAATTTTTAAGTAGAAATTACGAAATTTGAATGAAATTAGAGAGGCGGAAAGTACTTCTCTGGTCCTTAATATAGGACCTAATTATTAGGTTAATTTTGGTCCTAAATATAAGACTTATTTATCATATTTATCAATTTTTTCTAAATTATTCTCATAGATACTTTCTCAACCATAATCAAGTAAGTGAGGGAGGAAAGATATTAAAAAAATGATTATGCTTTTTATGAAAAATATGTCATACTCCTCCGGTCCTTAAGACCCAATTATTGAGTTGGTTTTAGTCCTAAATATAAGATTCATTTATAATTTTTATCAATTTTATCTAAATCACCCCTATGGATATTTCTTCAACCATAATCAAGTAGAAAAGAAAGAGAAGGTATTAAAAAAGATGATTATGGTGTTTTAGGAAAAATGTGTTATTTTTCTTAAAATGAATTAACTTGCCTAACTTCCTTAATCTAATCAAATTAGTTAAATGGATATTATCTTAAAGACCTGAGAAGAATTTCTTATAATTAATTAACTTATCTAATTTTTTAATCGAATAAAATTAGTTAAATATGTCTTATATTAAGAATTAGAGGAGTATTGCTTTTTTTCCCCTTAATCTTAAATTGATTAAGAAGGGGCGGAATTTTAAATTTTGAGACAAAAAAGCCGCTTAAATGAGAATATAATGCAAGCTACGGCTTGTGAATGAATTAGAGAATACAAAAAGGCCCCCATTAATAAGGAGAGAGAGCATGAGAGAGAATAATGGTAAATTATTCAAAGAAAGAGAAGTAGAAAGGAGAGAGAGTGAGTTGGAGACAATAAATATGGGTAAAATAGGAAATCAATACAAAAAAATAGAGACAGCTTTTAAGTGTCTTTTATATATAGGCACGTGCTATAAGCATCAAATGTCTCTTATAATAAGGAACGGAGGGAGTATTAATATATTAACACTATTAGTTAAAAATTATGGGAGGCCAGATCTTCATATTAAATTAATTAACCAAACCATGATCAGATACTCCACCAAGTCGTTTTCAACGGGATCGTTCTGTGTTTCTTCAATTGGCAATGACTTCAGTCAATGAATCAATTAATTACATTCTTATCTTCTTTTTTGTTTGGGGTACCTACTTCAACCAATTAAACTACTCGCTCGTATCTTTTTTTTATTTGTACCTGCAGAAGATCTCTTGCGTATATGCGATGCTGACTCCCAGAAAAAATATGGTTTTTGAATGGAACTCCCAGAAATTTTTTATTTAAAAATAAATGTTACTTTGGGGTTTACATATCAATAAAAATTATTAAATAATATAAATTACTGTAAAATTTGATTTATATACTTTTTTTTAAAAATGAAGTAGATTATAATATTAGAAAAAAGGATAAAATTGTCAGAAATAATTAATAACCGCTTAAATTCTGAAACAAGTATTTTGAACGATTGCAAAAATTCTAAAGTAACAATTATTTTGAAAAAGTGAGGTAACGTTTTAGGTCACTCAAAATTTAAATATTTTATGAGTATACAAATTCAGCCATTTGTTAGACGAAATAGCAGAAGCGAAATACAATAATTTGAGAAAAGTTATTCGGCTAGCACTTGGGAGTTGTGATATTCTGCCGCCTGCCTGAAAATTATATTATGCATGCGAATTGAAAAA